GCGCCTCTTCCCAAGTGGAGCAAGTTCACAGGTTACGCGCTGTGGGGCCTGCCTGGCGGGCAGCTGGCTGTTACGCAGGCGGGGCCTGGAGCTCCGCCCGAGGTCCAGTCGGCTCGGTGAAGCGGACCAGGATCCTCTCCACGCTTGGTCCTGCTGCCTCCAGACGAAGACATGCCCCACTTCCAACTCAGCGCCCCCCGACGCTGCCGCCCTAACGCCCGCCCCCCCAAACCCTCAGACGGTCACACGTGGAATGAAGCAGCCATTTCCTTTGATAACTTCTTTAAAAAGCCCTGCAAAACGTGGCCCCTTCTTAAACGTACAGACAATCCTTGTACTCCCAACACATCTCACACCTTCTCTTCGCTAGACGTGGGCCACCCCAGAGGTCAGGAACCCACTCGCGAGCGTGGCACCCCGCCCCGACCACAGGATGCAGCCATGTCACGGGCCGGAACGCATGGACGGGGCGGAAGGGCCTGGCGCTCCACCCACAGCACCACAGCCAGCCAGGCCCGACCCGCACGATGCGCCTGTGCCGCGAGGGCCGCTGTCACCTCCTCCCTCCTGTTCAGGACTCGGCTCTCAAGGCAACTCTGCTGCTTGCGATCCCGGGCAAGCCTCACAGCCAAGCCTGGGATGCAGCTGTCTCCCTTCCTGCTTTACCGGTGAGGAAGCGGCTCCAAGTCCCCACGGGATGACCGAGGCGGGCGGGGCGTTCCGCTCTGGAGCTGTGCCGGGCCGGACCTTTGGGCAGTAGCCGGGAGGGCAGAGGAGACCGCCAGGCAGGGAACCTCCCTGCCTCCTGTTACATTCATGACACACGGACCTTGAGCTCGCTTTTCTTTGTTTTTGGCCCCGGGGCATGTGGGATCCTAGTTCCCCAACCAGGGACCAAACCTGCGCCTTCTGCAGTGGAAGCGCAGAGCCTTAACCGCTGGACCGCCAGGGAAGGCCCAAGCGTGCTTTTCTACGAACTCTCCAGGCAGGGCAGCCCGCCCTCAACTGGTAGGTCACCCTCATCCAGCTCAGCATCGACTTGCACCTTCCCAGTGAAAAGGTGGATAATTCTTTTTGGCCCGACGCAGGGGATGCTCGGGTGGGGAAACAGGCTTTGCTGGGGGTGGGCGCCCGCATGCCCCAAGCACCCTGGGAGCCCTCCTGGGAGGGAGTCAGTGTGCACCCACCATCCCTTCAAGCTGGGACCGGGCCGCCGCCCTGAATGGACCCCAAAGGTCCTCCAGCCTCACTGTGTCCCACCCCAGTGCGGCAGGCAGTGCCAGACAGCATAAGGACACCCAGCTGGAGGCAGAGTGTCCGGCCCACACCCGCTCTGCCACCAGGTTTCGAGGAGCTGGGAAACTTAGGAGTCTCTTTGTGCCTGTGTCACCCCAGCCGTGAAACAGACCCTAGATTACATCTCCCTACTCAGGTTTCTCAGCCTCCAAAGCGCCTTCAAGTGTCCCAGGCACCCAGTAGGTAGACCCAGCCCTTCAAAATAGGGTACAGCTGCCAGTGGCTTCAAAAAGAAAAAAAAAAAAAACCTTGGTTTTCCCCAGGTTTGTCACCAATTGCTTATGCCCAGCATAACAGTGAAAAGTTGAGGTGTTACCTGAAAAAGCAATGGTGCCTCAGGAGCAGTCCGACCGTGCTGAAGTGCTTTGTGGGATGTTTAAGAAAAATTTACGCTGGCTTAGTCTTTCCTTGGGCATCTCTAATAGATGAAATGCTTATTAACTTTACCAGCATGAGGGTTCCCTACA